AAATATCGTTGCCAGGATATAAATCACTGAAACTAACAGGATTACAGAACAGGAACGGGATAAGAAGATAATTAATTTGGGATTTGATTGGGTCATTTAACCAGAGCAAATGATAGCAAACTTTTCAAACTAAAACATTAATGAGTCTTTCTTACACTCAAAAAAATTAAACTAAATATTTTGGATATTTAGTTGTAAAGTAAGTCTGGAAAGAACTGCTTCTGTAGAAATATTTTGTCTTTCTGCATGCAAGAGCAGCCAGGTGACAAATATAGAGGCAAGCAGATATGACTCATTTATGAAAAACTTTTTTTTCACTGGCAATAGATCTAATCAAACTTTCATTTTATTAAGTAAATAATGACCCAAAAAAAAGTCTTTGTTGCCAAGGATCAGAAGCTAAAATTAGCAGCTTCAAGATGTTTAAACATGGGTGTTGGTTCTTTCATTAGGTATTCTTTTACTTGATCAGAAGAATTAGTGCCAGCAGAGGTATATCATGGTGGAAAATAATGTGTTGCAGTTAAATTTCTGACGAAGTAGATGTATTTTCCTCCAGCTTTGATCTCGCAAACTGATTTACAGAGAGTATAAACCAAGGGACAATGGGCTTTCCTTATATTTTGTATGTGGAGTCACTTTAGACAGGTAATTATGTTCACACAATGGAAAACTGGATTTTACAGCGAAAGCCCAACTTTAAACATAAGTAAACATATGGTTCTAAAGTGCTTTACTGTCATTTTCCTGGACTTAAATGGATGGCGCACGTAAAATGCAGATTTTTCATTTATATGGGATCATTCCACATTTCGATGTGTGTAACACACTGCATCAGAGCAGCATAGCATAAAGGGGATCAGCTTTTTAATTCTGCTGAGCTGTTCAGGAAGCCCAGTTTGAATTTAATAGCGACTCTCAGCTCATCTGCATCGTTGGTTGCTGGATTGCCAACTGTTTCTAGTTTCTTTACATTAGAGCTGTTTTGCTTGTGTTACCAGGGTGATTAAGCAACAGAATACGAACTTTATTTTCATATCGAAGGAAGGAATTTGAAACACTCAGCAACGGTCCAGTTCTTTTTCACCTGAGCACAGATGAGATGGTTTTGAAGCTTTCTATGTTATTTTAAAACCAGAATTGAGATGAAATATCTGACTCATCTCTTCAAGTCATCTGTTTATGGTATGTTATGAAAGCTTGTGGAAGTTTCTTCAAAGCATGCCGTTCTCTCTGCTGTACATTTTCCTTCCAATTTATTTCCTTCAACTTAACTTCCTATTTAAATACTTGTTTGCAGTTGAGCTTTTCAAGTCATTTACTTTGATGCTGTTGCCACAGAATATGATAGCAGGAGAGCGGATCAGTCTCCATGTTTCTACTTCTTCATAGAGATCTCACATTGGCCATACCGACCAATGAGAAAGAATGCTTGAATTTCCTGCTCCTCTCTTCTCCTTGCTCCTACTCTGCACCTCCTTTTCAACTCGGCTGGTACTGTACTTGCGGAAGTGGTTGAAATATTATTGCAGCATTGGAGATAATAATGCTAATGAGCTGCTATTTAGTGTAAAAACTATTTGCTATTGTTGCTATGTTTATGCATCATTACAAATCGACAACACATTTTTTTTGCCTATGGTTCTGTACACCTAATAATGTGAACATTACGACTTTTCTAACTTGTAATGCTCTTAGAAATTTCATTTTCATCAGCTGTAAACCAGAACATCCAGAATAAGAATAAACACATGCAATATATCCCTCATGAAGGAAAAAATGTGTAAAAAGAGTTTTGCTTTTTTAATTATATTAATTAACCTTTAGCTAATATTAAAAGTTATTGTGATGTACTTGTATTTGCTTTTGTTTTCTGTACATGAAAGCCCACCAATGATGTGACGCTATGTTTAACAGCTGTAGATCTCCTCCTCAGAAAGAGCTGATTTTATAACCTTGATGGAATCTGATGAGATTTTTTGGGACGTAAGTGAAAGATAAGCTCTCTGTTGTGATTTCAGTTCCTGTCTGCAGATAAAATAATGACTCAGCGAGACAGTTAGAGGTGACAAGATTTCTCATCCTTGTCTGGCTTAGTTATGCAGTTACAGTGCGGCAGATATAGTCAGATGGATTTACTCTAACATCTCACAGTTTTTTTTTTTCTTTTCAATAAACCCTTATGGGACTGTTGTAAGCAGCTACAGTAGAGTTGGATTTAGTGCTGCAGGCAATAAAATAGTCTTTTTGAAATAGTTGAGGTTTGATAGCCCTTGTGCAGTAAATCTTTCAGTTATTCTTAATTTTAGTTCTAGTTGAAAACCACACGTCACTTCATATCAACGTTTGGATAATGTTTTTTTATTCTCCTTTGCAGAGCTAGTAGGGCTTGTAACTATGCATCTGTGTCTATAACGTACTGACAGAACTCACAGGTATTCTTGCTGGCTTCATCTATGAATAACCCAGTCAAAGGTATTTAACACTTCAGAGATTTTGCTTTTTTTTTAAACTTGCATCCTTCATTTCATCTAATAATTTTAATGATCACACAAAAGACAAGCTGGAAAAATGCAAAATGTTAAAAAAAAATGAAGTATATAAAAAGCTGATTTATTAGTCTATGAAAATTAATTACCCAAACCAGCTGACCCTATGTAAAAAAAACAAAAAAACGCCCGCCTTATTAGGTCATAAATTAACTTTAATGAAAATGTTTTCTTATTCAATTTTCTTATTCAGTTTGACAAGCCACACCTTTAATATAACTTATTAAAAAAACCTGTTGAACAACATTAGGTGGCTCTCAAAAAGCAACACGCCATGCCCATGTCTAATTACTTCATGAGAAACAAAGTCACTGACATCTACCTTTCTTAAAGTCGTAGTGAAACGGCTGTTATAACTGTTGCATTCCCGAATTCTCCCGAGTGGTGCTTGACGTTACACAAGTGAATAAGGTGAATGTGAATGGTCGATTATCAAGGGGATTGTTGTGGCAGAAGGTTTTGCAAGCAAGTTTGGTTGTGGCCGATTTGTCAGAAGCATCTTGCTAACCAGTTAGCAACTTAGGTTCCCAGTGGGAAATTCCATTGGGACCAAGTAGCACTAAATTGGTGAAACGACACTGTAAACGACACTGAACGACACTGAAACGACACTGTCAAGGAACGCTATGGACAGCGGAAACATGCAAGAGGAGGAGAGTTTTGTGTCGGAGGTCATAGATGAGTCTCTTCCGTCATCCATTTTTTATTTAGAGGAGGAAAGCGGGGACGAAGTTGTCGTGGAAGAGGACGCCAGGGCGGCAGAAGCTTGGTTTGGTGTAGAAGGCTTCCAGCCGTACATGTTTGAGCCCTTGCCTCGCAACGCTGCCAGTTCTGTTAGCTCTACGCCTGCTGAAGACACAGACGTCCACCCCCCTGAACACTGGGACGGAACTCAATGGGAAAGGAAATGATTCTTACTTCAACCATTGCGTATATTAGCTGCAGCATATGAATCAAGATGCTATGACCGAAAATTTTTTATTGACAGATGACCGTTGATATATGATTGGTCAAATTTAGGCGTACAAGCTGACGTATAACTAACTGGCCTGCAGAAGATAACAAAAAAAACCCAAAGATTTTAAGATAGGATTTTTTAAAAATAATTTTCAACATTTTGGGACAATATGGTTTGATAAAGAGTACATTTATATAAATGTTTAAGCCAGAATTATTTGAGATTTAAATATGACTTCCCTACGACTTTAAATGGCTTTGAGAGACATTTCACATGCCTGGTTTACACAGCAAGATTTTAAAACTATCATCAGCTGACTTCCTTTTTTGCCAACTTAGGTTAAGGACTAATTTGTGAGTTAAGTTTAGGCTTTGGTTGAGTATGCACTGGTAATTGTTAGAGCTTTTAAAAGATCTTGATTTGCTTTATTTATCCTTATTTATTGTGGTGTTTAGTGTATACTAAATCTGATTGTGTCATGGTTGAGAATGTAAAGTATAAACCTGTAGCAGAAACATATAGAAAACCTCAACATTTTCAACCTATAAAATAAGGCCTTAGCCTTAGCAACAGGTGTAACACAAATACTGTAAATAGGTCAGTTAAGGGTCAAGAGAAATACACATCTAAATGTGAATCTACAAAAAAACAACAACATAAAAACTAAATGTACCATTTATGTATCTGATTTATTGTTTCAATGGTCACAGTGATCAACCTAAACAATGAAAAGTATTATATTTATAAAAAAACACACATCACAGTGATTAGAGATCCAGTTACTCTAAGCGTATTTGATTTTTACTTCATGCTGAAGGATACATTTTTTACTGCTACTGGGCAGAGTCACTGAGCTAAAAAAATATATATATAAACTGGAGTTTTTAACACTACTCTTTACATTTTATCTGGTTATTGGTCTCTATGAGCCTGCCTCAAGCTCCTCTTAGGTGAGGATCTTTCCTCTGGCCCAGCTTAGAGGAAACTTGTATAGAATAAATTTGTATTTTTTTTATTGCAGTAGTGAAAATGTGAAAAACTGATTTCATCAGCACAAATTGAGAAATGAAACTATTTAGATTGAGTGTCGGATGCTGTAGGAACTGTCTGTAATATCACAGATCCTTTCCTGATGCAGCCTCTTTTATATTTTGTGGGCTGGTCTAGATATGTCAGCTCAATGCAAACAGATTCAGTTCTATACTCATTCGTATGAATAATTAATCGTGGATCAAATCACGCCTTTATCAGCTCATCCCTGGCCTGTTTCTGCCAGGGTGAATTTCAAAATGTTACCTTTGTTTTTTTTCTGTTTGCATAGAAGCTATTCTCATTATTTACTTTCTTTACAAAGTCATCTGTTAAACTGTTAAACCTGCTCTTTAAAGATCCCAGAGTTCATTGTGATGCAGGAATATTAGCTTGATGATGTTGGTCTGCCTCATTATTGACTGGGCAGAGGTAATCTCAGTGTCTGTGTTTTCGCTGCCCACCTTTGAGCTCCTTATCTCCCTTCATCCATTTAATGGTGGCTGCAGGCTTACTGCTCATGGCAGTGCAGGTCATTTCTGTCTCGTTGCCCTCGCTAAGGACCTCATCCTTGGCCTCGATGACAGGGTTACCTGGAGGAACTGAGACAGGACATAAAGAGTATGTATGGATTCAGAGTATGACACTAAGAAAGCAAAAACATTGCTTAAAAAAAACTCACAACACATGCATTTGTAGGAATATACAGCATAATATTACATCAATTTGCCAAAAGATGCATTTAAAAATGTTTGATTTGTTTAATCTCCAAAGGTGGGATAAGTTAAAGCAGAAAACACAGTAGAAGGAAGCTGCTCTTTAACCAGTGCGTTGGCAGAAACTGTAGATGACAGCTGACCTTAAGAATCACTTAGAATGCCACAGAGAAGGAAACTGGTTTCATCATCTGAGGACATGTTCTGGGTTCATACAAAGGTTTGGCTTTTCAAGCCAAGCAGAGCTGCAGGACATGTCTTTGAACATATAAATGTGTCTTTGGATAAAGACACTCATACTAAACACATTGGACTCTCTAAGAGGCAAAGTAATCAGAACAAAGCAATTACGTGTTCGATTTTAACTTTAGTTAGAAGAGTTCTGAATGTTGTAATCAAAAAACAGACTAAATGTTAGCAAAGCATGTAAAGTACACTGAGTTACTAACAAAGCCCACTGTTTCCTTCCTTCCTTATTTCCTTGTTTTCTTTCTTTCTTGTTTACTTCTTTCCTTACTTCCTTTCTTTGATAACAAAGGGCTTTAAAGTCAATATAACATTTCAGGACAGATTTTGAAAATACTGATCAAATGAATCCTCAAGTGATGAACCGGTGTTGTCAGAAATTTAAACCACATTCGCATTCAGTGTATCTTTGGTCATTTAATTTTTCTTTTAGAAACAGGATCATAACATACACTGCAAAAAATTGAAATCTAAATAAGTAATTTTTTCTTGCAATAAGTGCATTTTTTCTTGAATTGAGGAGGTAATTGAGACACTTTGCCAATGGAAAAAGACAATTTACATTTAAAATAAGAAAACACAATTGCATTGTCTTATTTCAAGTGCATATGATCTAATTATCTTATTTTAAGACTAACAATACTCATTCAATTGGCAAATTATCTTATTTACCTACTCAAATTCATGGTAAATACACTTAATTTAAGAATTTTTTTCTCATTTTTAGATGTTTTTTTGCAGTGAAAATATTCCTGTGGTGGTCCCTTCTAATGCCCTAAGACTACAACTCAGATTAATTGTATCAACAACCTAACCAAAATAACCCGACCAACCTCTTAACAAAACATCAGGAGACCTCATGTTTGCTTGTTGTAACAGATATTGCATTATTGTACATGATGTTGTATCTCAAAATGTAACAGAAAAGGAGCTGAGAAAGGAAAGGCTCCCTTTGTTCTGGAAAAAAAACCCCAAAAAATAATGGTCTTCATGTAATAACATTGTAAACAAGTAGGATAAATAGCTGTGCACCATGTTTTATTTTCAAAATCTTTCTTTTTTGACACATTTACAATCAGATTTACTTAATTGGCTTGACTTTTACTTAATATTTGATCAAAAGTTTGATATTCAAAATTGGTCTTAGTGACAGAACTCCGCAGCAAACACCCTCATTGTTAAATCTTTAAATCAATTAAACAAAGAAAAATGAAAAGAAAATGCATCAACATTAAAAATTCCTGTTTACTGTTTTCCATGTGAATGTACTGTATGATATTTTTCTCAGATGAAATGTGATTAGAGGTTTTACCTCCTGCTAACAAGTGACTGAATGTTGGTGTGTTTGTGTAAGGAAACCCTGTGGTTTTGCTGTGGTTGTGTATGTGGGCGCTTGCGTGTGTTTTGATGTTGTACTTAGCACTGTGATGTCGGCGTAGGCTTCCTGTGGGGGGTCTGTGTAGAGCTGGCACACATATCGGCCCTCGTCTGACAGCGAGACGTTAGACAGAGACACCCGCAGCTCGTTGTCAGAGAAGTTCACCAGCTGAAAGCGGGCGTCTTTCAGTGCTGAAAGGGAAGGAAAAAAAGTAAACTTTAAAAATATCTGGCATATTAAGGTTTTTTTTATTTAAAATGAAGATGGCATTTTAACATCTGATCCAATAATATCAGCTAAGATAATACAAAAATAATAAAATAGCTTTGTTGAAGAAGTTGAACCATGGTTTTGAAAATCTTTGTCAAATTTAATTAAATAATAAAATACGCTGTATGTATTGCACATGTTGTTGCATCCCGAATTTAACAGAAAAGCAGCTGAGAAAGGAAAGGCAAGGCAAGGCAAGCCAAATTTATTTGCATACATAGCACAATTCAGTACAAAGACAATGCAAAGTGCTTTACATGATTAAAATACAGGAAGATAAAACATAATCAAAGCAAGTAGGAAAAAAAAAAAAATAAAATAAAAAATGCAGAAACAAAAAAGAATATTAAAAACAGTTGGACTAAAGAAAATATGTTTCAGTTGAACTGTTTAACTAGAACAGTGGAAGGCAATCCTAAACAAATGTGTTCTTAGTCTTGATTTAAAGGAACTCAGGCTTTCCGCACTTTCACAGTTTTCTGGAAGTTTGTTCCAGATAAGTGGAGCATAGGAACTAAATGCTGCTTCTCCATGTTTAGTTCTGGTTCTAGGTATGCAGAGCAGGCTGGAACCAGAAGACCTGAGTGGTCTGGAGGGTTGATACACTGATAGCAAGTCTGTGATGTATTTAGGTGCTAAGCCATTCAGAGATTTTTAGACTAACAGAAGTATTTTAAAGTCTATTCTCTGAGATACAGGGAGCCAGTGTAAGGACTTTAGAACTGGGGTGATGTGCTCTACTTTCTTAGTCTTAGTGAGGACACGGGCAGCAGCGTTCTGGATCAGCTGCAGCTGTCTGATCCACTTTTTAGGCAGACATGGGAAAACATTGTTGCAGTAATCAATTCGACTAAAAACATTAGTCCTTTAGGAAAAGCTCCTTTGTTCCGCAAAAAAAAAAAAAAAACTAATGGTCGTCATGTAATAACATTGTAAACAAGCAGGATAAATAGCTGTAATTAACGTGATATTATGAATCACCTCCGTTTTCTCAGAATCCATGATTTAATCTTTAAAAGACGTACAACAACAGCATAAAAACCTAAGTTGTGGTTTCTCACTGCATTTGCTGACACATTTGTTACCGGAATTGGTTAGTCAGGCACTAAGTGTCGCTTCACCCAAACATTCTGGTTAATGTCCCTCTTTTTCCCTAAAGCCCAGGTCACACTGCTTGAGTCCTACTCTTTAATCTCTGATAGGATTTTTTTTCATGTAACACTGACTGCAGTGTGTATAACAGCCTTCTGCTATGTTTATGGTGAGCAGATCCCAATCTGTGTAGATTTTTTTCACCTTTCTCCCAGTGCCCTACAAACTACTGTATAAAAATGTCCCATATTTGAATGGGTCAGATTATATAAAGTAAAAAAAACAAACAAACAAAACAGCCAGTGCAGATACAAAGCAAAGCCCCACTTCATGACCAGCCCACACAGTATCTCAAACAAGAACCAATAGAAGTTTGAAATAGGCCTATATTAATAATATACTGGGAGCTACTTTTAAAGACAAGGGCAACACAACGACAAGGGCTGTGGTGCACTTCATGGAAATATGGTGAGGGATTGAGAGGTGATTCTCAAAGAGCATTCTGTTTGTTCAAGTTTCTTTTTTTATTTTTTTCAAAAAGAGGAAGGAAACGATAAGCTGCACTTTCCTGTGCTGTCCCACAATGTTTTATTTTTTGAAGCTCAATCAGGATGTCTTACTTTATCTGTTTTCTGTCCTTCTGAACTCCTATTATGGGTATTTTGTGTGTCCTGGTCTTTATGTGATTCCAAATAAGGCAAGCCTGACTCTTTTCCCTTGTGCTTGAAAGATTTTATTTTGTACTTTTCCCCAAAGCGGATGTGGTTTACTTTGCAACTGTGTCTCTCTTCCAGACAGCCCCATTTTAAATTGCAGCTAAATTGGTGCCTAGTTCAACAAAAACATGCCCCTTTTGCAGAAAAATCATGTTAAGTGTGTTTATCTCCATTTACTCTCAATGAGTGCTCAGTGCAAGGACCTCTTACGGCATGATTTTCTGTCAGATCGGATGCTAAATCATGGGAGCAGGCCCAGATTGACAATGTGTCCAACTAAGCCCACGGTGCTACACATCATCAATATGGCTTGCAAGGGTATTACAAAAGCTCAGCTACAAGCTAGTCTGAGGTGTGAATGCCTGAAAGCCTCTGCTGTAAAGTTTTGACTTGACAATGACAGACGCATTACTCTGAAGCAGGGAAAATATAACAATGTATGAATAACAATGAGCTTAAATCACAGAGTTCCCCAGAATTATACTAAAAAGCTTGTTCAGTGCTACAGAAATCTGAATGCAAGCTCTAGCTTTAAAGAACATGGCCCCACAATATAAAACTGATAACATTCATGATTTTTGGAGAGCTTGTTTGTGTAAGCTTCTCCTATCATACTCTAGGTTATAGTTTTACATCTTTAAAATAAGTTTACAAAGAGATAAACATTGGGGCTGTTTTCTACACTAGAAAAATAAAAATCTATATAAGTCATTTTTTCTCAAGATAAGTGCAATTGTTCTTGAATTATGATTGTAAAAGAGATATTTTACCAATAGAGCAAGACAATATACATTTAAAATAAGAAAAGACAATTGCATTGTCTTATTTCAAATTTAAAGTAAGAACATAAAGTTAATTTAACTTTATGTTCTGCTTTTTCTCTTCATTGGAGCTTCATCTGGCAAGCTGCTCTATTTTGAGGTGACAGCCTGGATGGATGCATCAGTTGGGCTGCTAATGTCAACCTCTTCCATTACAGATCATAAAGGCGGGCCTGTTGCTAATGTTTAGTCCTTTTTCTTACTTACATCACTGCAAAAACAATCTGAAATTAAGTAAAAATTGATTAAATCAAGTATATTTACCCTTAATTTGAGCAGGAAAATAAGATAGTTTGCCAATGGAATGAGTATTTTTACACTTAAAATAAGATAATTAGAAAATATGTACTTAAAATAAGACTAAGCAATAGTTTTTTCTTATTTCAAATGTAAATTGTCTTGTTCCATTGGCAAAGTGTCTCACTTGCCTCCTCAATTCAAGAAAAAAATTCACTTATTTTAAGAAAAAATTACTTATTTAGATTTACATTTTTTGCAGTGATGGGCTCAGCTTTTACCGTGATTGAACTACATATGCTGTTTTTAATTATTTTTTATATAAAAATTAGCTCATAGTTCATCTGTTTAACAGTTTCTTTCCTAGACAGAGCCACCTATGGAGCTGGTTTACCATTATATTTTCTGGCTTAGAAAGTATAGATCTTTATACAACAATTTTACAATCCACTGGACTTTGTTTCCAAGTTTGAAGACGTTTCGCTTCCCACCCAGAAAGCTTTTTCTGTTTAAAAGGTCAGAATTAGCGTTGACTTTGAGGCTTTATAGAGTGGACAGAAAATAACGCCTTGTTTTAGCTCAGAAAACGAACGGGTCCGCTTAGGAATGGGGAGTCGCTAGGGTTGTTTTTTAGCCTGCAATACCCGATACTGGTCTATGCCTCTGAAATGGGGGGTCGTTAGGGGGAATTGTTGGCCTGGTTGAACAGGAGAGAGGTTTTGGTTCCCTGCATCTTTAAACTTGGTCCAGTGGATTGTTTTTTTTTTACTTTTATGGAAATGACTATGACCTGGATTTTGTTTCCTTTTTTGTCTGATTTTGCCAACTTTAACCCCCAGTTAGTCTACGTAGAAGGCCGCTCAAACACAACTCGTTCTGCTGGAGGTTTATTTGTATAAATGTGTCTGCAGCTTTTAGATGTGTATCTGCTTTAACACATCAGTCCAATAATTAAATAATTAGCAGGACTCTGGAGAACTTGACTTTATACTAAGGAGGTAATTCAGCATTTTGATTCGGGTGTGGAATGCATCTAAAAGGTGCAGGACACCAGAACTGAGAAAGCCTGCCTTAGACAGAGAACTTTTAACCAATCTTTATAATTTGATTTAACTGTCTCTGTAAAGTGCCTTGAGATTACCTTAAATGGAGTTATATAAACTAAATCAATTTATAAATATGACTCTCTGCCACACATTCTGGCAAACATGTCTTTTTAACAAGCAGCTTCGTTCTTGGCTGCCCTTTGGACTGCATAGACATCGAACACAAATTCACAAATCTTGCCTCTCTCTTAACTGACGTCACTTTCATCTCACCTGACCTTTTTTGCCCACCTACCTGAGCCAATTCCATCATGTGTAATGTAGAATGACAACATGTGGTTAGGATGAAAGCCTATCCACCTTCATCTCCCATCAATGTGCTGATAAATTCTGCTCTGACTGACAGTGACTCCAGGCTCTTTGCACTCTGAACCATCTCAGATCTGAATACTCTTCATCCAAATAGGCTTTTTATGTTGAAAGTTTAAATCATTGAATGCATGGATTTTTCACAAAAATTACATTTCAGCATACATAAGAAGATGGGGAGAGCACTGGGGCATGTCTAAAGAAGAATCACAAATAATGAACAGAAGGAGGTTGAGGCAGCAGCGTGGGTCTTGCTGCATCTGCAAAGTTATTTAAGGGTCAATTAAAACGTTCTGCATCTGCGCAGTTAATGCCCGTTCTTTCCCTTAGTTTGCTGCAAAATGAATCAACAGAACATTGAACAGCTTTATCCTTCCTCATGCAAAAGTTTAATGAAATTAATTTGATCCAAGGTCAAATCTGAGGAAAATGAGATGTATTTAGCTGCCTTCATTAAAGTTAATCAGCCAAAGAGAGACAGGGCATAGCAGGGGAGGGTCTGCAGGTCATCTTTCACCCGTGCTTAAGATGTAATCAAAATGTTTAGCCCGAGCAAGATTGCTTTATGTTCTGTGTCAAATTCTGCTAAGCAGCCTCCACCAGATTTATAGAGATAACCCGCCTATTACAGAATGAAAGA